AACAAATACGGCCAACATGTACCACCATTTTGACACGCATTACCCTGACACCCGATGAGTTTAACTGAGCAATTTTTACCCCCGTACTCCGGCTGACAATTGCAAAAATAATCAGCCCTACCATCGATACAACTTCCATGAATGCACGGCTGATATCTCATGCACTCGTCTATATCATGCTGGCAGTGATCACCCTCAAATCCCTCCTCACACTCGCACGTATATCCACCAATTCTATCCTTACAAGTGCCAGCTAAACACGGATTGCTCTCGCACTCGTTTATATTCTTTTCACAATTTTTACCAATCAATCCCTGAACACAGAGGCACTCGTAACCACTGGCATTAGCATAATTAAATTCTTGGGTAAATATAGCTGGCAAATTTTTGGCATTACTCTTATATAATTCCTTATTAGATCTCTCTAAACACGTACCATTGTACTGGCAGGGTGAGCTCTCACACTCGTTAATATCAATCTCACAATTTTGACCAGCATAGCCTGGATGGCATCGACACTTGTACGTTTTAATGTCGTCCATACAGATTCCCTCGTTGACGCACGGATTGGACAAGCACTCGTTGATATTTGTTTCACACTGGATACCCTCGAAGCCAGTCTCCGAGCAGTCGCAGGTGTAATTATTAATGCCATCGATGCATTTGCCGTTATTGAGGCATGGCTGAGATTTGCAGTCGTCGATGTTAGTCTCACAATTTTGACCGGTAAAACCAGCAGTGCATACGCAAGTGTAAGCCGCTATTTGATCGATGCATGCTGCATTATTTTTGCAGGGATTGCTCTCGCATTCGTTGACATCAACGTGACATGTTTTGCCACCGTAGCCCGGTGGACAGAGACACTCGAATGCATTTATCTTGTCAATGCAAGTGGCATTATTTTTGCAAGGACCACAGAGGCACTCATTAATGTCAACGTCACAGTGATCACCGGAAAATCCCGGTCTGCAGTAGCAATTGTAACTTCCCAATGTATTTACGCAAATACCATTGTTGCAAGACGCATTACCAAGCAATTCACACTCATTGATATCGCTATCGCAGTGAACACCTGTGAATCCTGGTGAACAGTTGCAGTGATAACCCTTATCAGCTAAATCAATACAGGTGCCGTTTTTGCATGGTTTGTTAACGCACTCGTCGATTATTTGAGTACAATTTGGCTCTCTGTATCCTTTTTTGCATTTACACTCGGAACCACCGATTCCATCGACGCAAATTTGATTATCTCCTGGGCAAATTACGCCGAGACAATCGTCAATATTTATTTCGCACAGGGTACCCTCGAAGCCCCGGGGACAGGTACATGTAAAATCGTGTTTTGATCGAGATAGAAGTGAACAATTACCGTTGTTCTCGCAAGGATTTACTGCACAAGCGTCGTACTCCCGTTCGCAGTGATCACCCATGTAATCCTTGGTGCAGTTGCATTTGTAACCATTGTTACCGTCTGTGCACGTACCGCCGTTCAAACAAGGCTGTGATGAACACTCATCTACGTTGATGTGACAGTTTTTACCTGTTTGAAAAAAAAAA